CAATACAATAAGCACGAAATTTTAAACAAATATTTTTAACCTTATAAATTAGGCTTTAAGTATCATTTTAGAATAAATATTTTTGTACTGATGACTTTTTATGTTCAAGCGACATTTTAAATTTATTCCATAATATTCTTTTTCTGACGAAAGGACCTAAATACATATATTTTGCAATGGTAATTAAACTTTATGTTTAAGTATTAAGGTTTATAATAAACTGAAGTCGTTAACATTATTCCTTTAACGGCCGTCTGGTGTAGTGGTAAGTGACATGGTCACTACACAAGGGGGTCGCGGGTTCGAATCCCGCCAAGGGAAGATATTTGTATGATAAATATAAATGTCTTTTCCAGGGTTATGGATGTATATTAAGTATATGTATGTGTATAATAAAAATCTTACATTTATTTCCGTTATCTGGTACCTGTAACACAAGTTCTTTACGAACTTATCACGGGACCAGTTAACGTGGCGTGATTGTTAGTAAATATTTATTTATTTATTATTTATTTATTAAACTTTTTTCTAAGAAATGAAGATGTTTTCGTGTCTGCAAACGTGGCCACTGGAGCGTCTTATTTTTGTTCCTGATCCTTAATCTAGTACTATTATTGATCGAAGCGAAAAACTATATTATACGTTGTGAACACGTGTTAGATTTAGAGTCACGGGACAGTTTATACGAATACACCCAGTGATGCCAACTCCGGGGTTTTCCCCCCAAATTTAGGGGGGAAAATGTATACAGGGATTTTTTTGGGGGGTGAAAATTTTTGGGGATATTTTTAGGGATAAAATGTTATATAGAAAAATACTTAAAAATACTAAATAACTATTATTATTAACTAATTATTTATTATTTTTATTTATTTATTTACTTATATTGTAATGAATAAATACTTGGTCCGTCGTTGGGGAGTTTTGTTTTGATTTTAGTGGTTTTTGAAATTGCTTTAGGGGGAAAGTTTTCAAACAGTTGGCGACACTGAATACACCCCTTAGGTCAAGGACAGTTCTTTCTTAGGTCGGTCTGCCGGTGTGAGAAGAATAAATAAAGATACAAGTAATAGACGGAATAAGCGTGCGCGCAATGAAGCGATACGCGGCGCCGTACAGTAACAACCAGGGTTGTCACGTATTGTTATTGATAATAATAGGAATTTTAATTCATAATTTGTATGATTTGATAATTCGGTATTGCGGTTATCCTGAAATACATATAATGGATCCTATAAACGTTTCAGAACACGACACTTACACAACAACAACAAAAAACAAAATGTGTGCAATTCACATGTGGTAGAAGTGAAACCTTCCAAAATTAAAATACAATTATCCTAAACGTCTTAAGTATATGTAAAATTTTGTCATTAGTAAATAATTGTAAGGTAGCGCCCTCTGTGAATTGATATTTTAATTTCACGTATAATCCTAAATTAAAATTCACTACAAGGGCTTTCATACACACGTTAGTATTAAAAAATCTCACAGATGGCGCTGTATTANGTGAATTGATATTTTAATTTCACGTATAATCCTAAATTAAAATTCACTACAAGGGCTTTCATACACACGTTAGTATTAAAAAATCTCACAGATGGCGCTGTATTAAATAGTATGTATATTTCTGTCTCATTCTTTGCTGGCTTCATCCTACACATTTTTGTATTTGTGTCTCTTACCTGTCGTTTTTTCCGTTGCATCCAGTTTGAAATCACGATTCTAAAGAAGTTTTCACTTCAAAACACTATTCCCTATAATACGTCATTTCTATAAGAAATAATTTCATATTAAATAAATTTTTAAGAACCACATTCGTTTTGTCTTCCGTATTACTTATGACAATATTACTTATAATACACAGATAAATCTCACGACAAGCTATTAATTTATTTAAATAGGGAGAAACGTCTTAATAAAAACCAAATTAATTTTTTTGTGGCAATTTCAAAATATATTGGTGCCCAATTTTGGAGCTTTTCCTTTATAAAGCTTGCAAACCGATGCTAACGTCGTTAATTTCGCTTACATAACTCATTAGTAAGTAGTACGAATCTAAACGCGGGGTATTTATTATCCTTTCTACCGGACATTAGGACCGGCTGTCGTTGTTCTATGCAATATATCCTTTGAATAACTTCTTGATAGAAATAAAGCAAGGGGAGTATTCAACTTCAAGTCTATTTTGGTACACGATGAGGTTACACAGAAAAATTCAACTTAAATATATAAGACTGCTAGCCGTACTCGCCCGCTTCGCTGCGCATTTAAAATTAACGTTATTATTTTTTATTATTAGGGAGTCCAATACTCATATAAATACTAGCCTATCCATTAAGTGCATGTATTTTCTACATGGATACCAAGTTTCAAGTCAATCGGATGCATGGTTCAGTAGTTATAACGGAACATCCGTAAAAACCACTGTAGTTTTTTTTTTTTTATTGCTTTGATGGGTGGACGAGCTCACAGCCCACCTGGTGTTAAGTGGTTACTGGAGCCCATAGACATCTACAACGTAAATGCGCCACACACCTTGAGATATAAGTTCTAAGATCTCAGTATAGTTACAACGGCTACCCCACCCTTCAAACCGAAACGCGTTACTGCTTCACGGCAGAAATAGGCAGGGTGGTGGTACCCACCCGCGCGGACTCACAAGAGGTCCTACCACCAGTAATAGTATTAGTATGGAAGTATAGATGAAAATTAATAAGCCCTTAAGAAATTGGTGAGGCAGCCCTATACTAGCACGCCGCAATCAGACTGTGCATGATATACATTGACTGCGACCGTCGTTCTACAACCGGATACGTCTCTACATAACATTGACTCACACGAGGAGTTTCTCAAACCACTCCGACGAGAAGGGTATATCATCGCTGTCAAACTAATATCGGCTGTGTGATTCTTTTAGAGATTTCACCATTTAAACTATTATGACTTGTTTAATATTTAACTAGCTTTAATCTGTAAAAGTACACAGAGCAGATATTGTTTTCATGAAGAAGTTATGACAGGTACAGTGTAAGATTTGTAGTCGTCGTGGCCTAAAGGATAAGACGTCCGGTGCATTCGTGTTGAAGCGATGCAACGGTGCTCGAATCCCGGGCAGGCGGGTACCAATTTTTCTAATGAAATACACGTACTTAACAAATGTTCACGATTGACTTCCACGGTGAAGGAATAACATCGTGTAATAAAAATCAAACCCGCAAAATTATAATTTGCGTAATCACCGGTGGTAGGACCTCTTGGGGGAGTCGCACGGGTAGGTACCACCACCCCGCCTGTTTCCGCCGTGAAGCAGTAATGCGTTTCGGTTCGAAGGGTGGGGCAGCCGTTGTAACTATACTGAGACCTTAGAACTTATATCTCGAGGTAGGTGGCGCGTTTACGTTGTAGATGTCTATTGGCTCCAGTAACCACTTAACACCAGGCGGGCTGTGAGCTCGTCCACCCATCTAAGCAATAAAAAAAAAAAAGATTCTATTGAAATAAATGTTAATTTAAAAATTTTTTGGAGCGAAGTTATAAAAATTATCTGCATACATGTTCTTGCATTATTGTGATAATAATGTCATGAGATGCTGAATGAAAGTGGAGCATCAAAACCAAGTAAGAGATTCCACTCAATGAGTGATATAGTGAAAATTTGCAAAGTAAAGACTGTGAGTATTCGAACCGACGGTAATAATGAATGCGAGATTAAACAGAGATAACAGTTTTAATCGCGTCTACGAGCTGTGAAAACCGAAGTAAATACTGTTACTCCGGTAAGAGTAACGCCATCGATCGCCGAATAGTCGGACGAACATCGAAGGACCTAGTAGCACCTAGAACGCTTGAGAAATACAACGCCATCTATTGTCAGATAGCGGAAACACAATTCTAGAGATGTGTGGAATATTCTCGATAATTCTAGGGATGTGGTATCGGCTATAAAAGCGTTGCAGAGATGGCACGCAGCCAGTCAGTAATCGGATCTACTCGAAGCGAAACAGCGAACGAATCAACTGAAGCGAAGCGAATTGAGAATTTTAAAGTGTCTGTTGAGTGTTTTAAGTGTTCTAAGTATTGAATACAGTTTTAATTTATACTTCGGTGGAATTTTTTATTTATCCCGAACCCCAGCGCGTGACAATACTATAGACTAAATGTGATGAAAACCCGACTCAGACCCGGCACTTACGATGAACCAGACATTAGCGCGTAGTGAACTATCTTGCTCTGTTTTTTTTTAATTGCCTTTGTAGGCAGACGAGCACACGGCCCACCTGATGGTAAGTGGTTAGCGTCGCTCATGGATATCAGCAATGCCGGGGGCAGAGCCAAGCCTATACTACTATAAACCATTGTTTACATTTAGACATTTCTAGACTTTGTTTATAACCAAATTGTTAATTAGCTTAGGGATCGGATTTAGCTTGACCATCTCGGGTTTCAGTTGTGAGGCTACTTACGGCTTCCCGCCCGTCGATGAACATAAATTAAAAGACCGTGGCGATCGTGTTCCTAATTGGGCATTATTTCAGTTATTTTCTCGTTTTCCATTTTTTACCATTTTCCACAATCGCTACATATGCTAATTGATAACCACAACTCATATATTTACCCAACTAAGCGTATGGTATGATCATTTTTGACAATCGACTCGCAATCCCGATTACCAGTGGAGTTCATAGAGACTCACCACCAATTTACAGGTTGGTTGGAAGGTGGTTTGGTAATCTGATCTGGTGGTAGGACCTCTTGTGAGTCCGGGCGGGTAGATACCACCACCCTGCCTATTTCTGCCGTGAAGCAGTAATGCGTTTCGGTTTGAAGGGTGTGGATGACGTTGTAATTATACTTGAGACGTTAGAACTTATATCTCAAGGTGGGTGGCGCATTTACGTTGTAGATGTCTATGGGCTCCGGTAACCACTTAACACCAGGTGAGTTGTGAGCTCGTCCACCTTTCTCAGCAATAAAAAAATTAGAAATAGCTGATTTACCTTAAAGTTTCCTCCATTAAGCCAAGCGATAAGAGCATCGATGAGTTGGGCGGCCAGATCATTGGTTATTTCTGGTTCGCGGCGGACGAGGGCCACGAGCTGCTCGCCCAGCTGCTGACGGAGGCGGAGGTCGGGCCGGCTGAGCAGGGGGAGGGCCGCTTCTAGCGACGCAGGCTGGGGGTAGTGGGCCATCTGCAAATACACATCATAGTTTACGTTGGTCAGCGTACATTTACACACGTCATTACGGATCCTCCCGATCCGTTAACGGTGCTTTTAGGTACAACAAGCACCGGTCACCGTCCTCGTCGAACCTGTCACCTGCGACGAAGGGCTCGACGAGCGAATTAACCCATAGACACAGCCCACTGAGTTTCTCGCCGGATCTTCTCATTGGGTCGCGTTTCCAATCCGGTGGTAGATTCTGCGAAGCACTGCTCTTGCTAGGGTCAGTGTTAGCATCACTCCGGTTTGAGCACTGTTAGCTAACATACTAGTTAAAGTTACGCTGAAATAGCCTCTCAAGGCTATCAGCTTAGGTAGGAAAAAAAGTACATTTACACTTCTTTGCTGGTATATTGTGTGGGGCGCCCGCAAACAAGCAATAACACTTGGAAACGGTTCCAAGATGGCTCCAAGTTAACGTGGAAATGGATGCACGCCGGTCCCGCCAAGTCACTGCGAATATCTTTGATTGAATTTGCCAAATGATTATGACGACAGTCTGCCCGAATATCGACAATGATATGTATGTGTATTCATCTCTGGTATCTTAAAGTTACTGCTGTTTCTTCTGTATCATATGTCTCTAGTAGCATTATCCTCGAATTTCCTACCCGACAAACTGAGCCCCTAGTTGTTATCTTAAGTGAGAGACAGTCTAGGGAAAACAACGTCACTCACATTGTGATGCCTACGTGTTCCAATAACCCAAGTTAATAACCCAATCCTTATGTTTCGGTTTCGCCAACAGCAGTGTCTCCGCCTTGGTCTGCTGCGAAAGAAGTTTCACATTTGTCACCTGAGTTGTTCACCCTGTTTTTTAATACAGAAATCTTTTTTGCCACGTACCATCCGGCTTTGGAATGAACTCCCCTCCACGGCGTTTTCCGAGCGCTATGACATGAGCGACGGAGACCACTTACCATCAGGTGGGCCGTATGCTCGTCTGCCTACAAAGGCAATAAAAAAAAAAAGAAAATTGCTAACATAGAAAATTCTCGCTTACCGTTAAAAAATTCAGAATACAATCACCGGTGATACATAGATATATCGTTCCTCATACAATGACATTTCAATGTAACTTGTCCAGACACTGACACTACGCACTATACACTAGACACATGGATCACAGACACTCGAGGCACATCGCGTCACATTTTCTTCTTTAAATAAGATCTGAAATGAGAGAAATCGTTATTTAATTAAAGAACCACTCTCGCCGTCATCGAAGAACCGTTGTGTGTAATAATAAAATGAAACTACATAAAACTGATCTCATATCTGTGCAGCGAGCCCGCGCGGGAGGTGCCACCTATTTCTGCCGCTAACCTACCATGCACTCCGGTTCTAACGGCCTGATAGCCATTATTAATTCTTCAACTCATGTTTCGAGGGAATGATCACCATACAGGTTGTTTTATGGGTTCCAATAAAAGCTATCAACAAGGAGATCGTGCACTCGTCTGGCTCGTCTACATGGATAAAGTCTATTTGGTTCCAAAAATATCTGAGACTAAATTCCAAATCTAAATAAATATTAGAAATTAGGGAAATTAGGACAAGTCTACCGGTGGTAGGACCTCTTGTGAGTCCGCACGCGTAGGTACCACCACCCTGCCTATTTCTGCCGTGAAGCAGTAATGCGTTTCGGTTTGAAGGGTGTGGCAGCCGATGTAACTATACTTGAGACCTTACAACTTATATCTCAACGTGGGTGGCGCATTTACGTTGTGGATGTCTATGGGCTCCAGTAACCACTTAACACCAGGTGGGCTGTGAGCTGGTCCACCCATCTAAGCAATAAAAAAATTTCTGCCCTTCCTACAGAATAAATCAAATAACTACATTGTCTTTGATTTCCAAATATAATGCGAGTGAAACCGCGGTCTCAAACTTGTTTTCAAAATCGTATTTATGGATCGCAAGCCCATAAAGGTATTTTTCATTCCGATGCATCCTCATTACGTTTCTGTTTGTACTCAAATATCAAACGAGTCGTGATGTATGAGACGAGATAAAGCAATTATCTATTTGTAGTGCATTTTATTGGTACGAATGGTACTAAAATAAAACCAGTGTGTTTTGTTTATCTAAGCTTGCACCAGTGAAACTGACTGACGGACTGTCCCAACCTCATAGACCTCACAGATTTCGCGCTGAACGGATCGTTCCAGCTCTTCGCATTTATACTAAGAATCTTGGCTTGACTCAGGTATTGTGGTAGGACCTCTTGTGAGTCCGCACGGGTAGGTAACTCCACCCCGCCTATTTCTGCCGTGAAGCAGTAATGCGTTTCGGTTTGAAAGGTGGGGCAGCCGTTGTAAGTATACTGAACTGAGACCTTAGAACTTATATCTCAAGGTGGGTGGCGCAGTTACGTTGTAGATGTCTATGGGCTCCAGTAACCACTTAACACCAGGTGGGCTGTGAGCTCGTCCACCCATCTAAACAATAAAAAAATTGTCCGGTAGACGAACTCAAGTCCTACCCGTCACTAAAGGACTTGTAAAGTACTTTGTACGGACACATTATTGTTACGCTGGTAAGAGTAACGCCATACATCGCCAATTAGCCGAACGAACATCGAAGGATCTAGTAGAACGCTTGAGAAGTACAACGCCATCTATAGTCAGATAGCGGAAACGCACATAGCAGGTACTCGACTTGTGAGGAATGTTCTCGACAATTCTAGGGATGTCGTATCGACTACAAAAGCGTTGCACGCAATTAGTTAATAGTCGGAAGTACTCGAAGCGAAACAGCAACCGGATCGCCTGAAGCGAAGCGGAAGAAGCGAATTGAGACTTTTAAAGTATTTGTGAAGTGTTTTAAGTGTTCTAAGAGGTAATACAGTTTTAATTTGTACTTTGATATATTTTTTTATTTATTCCGAACCCCAGCGCGTAACAATATAATTCGCGGTCCCATTGAGAGAGATGGTAACATCTCCCCGTTGAATCTTAACAATACGAGTCATGATAACTAGTAACTACTAGAAACTTATTTGATAAAAATCTTTCGTCAACACATTTGGATTACGTTACATATTCACTCATTGAACAGAAACAAGAAAAACTGTACAATTAATATGATTTATTCGAATTACGAAAAAACAACATACAATGATGGAAGTATAGTATAATATGTACTTAAACTAATTTCGTCTATATCACATTTACGGTACAATATCGCAACATTTTCCCCCTAGAGACCAGGAGCGCTGTTCCAACTCCATAAAAAATTTGAGTTAGCTTTTATAGAATGTAAAAAATGTTCTAAAGATATGTAGAATGTAAAAAAACTCAAAACTAAGCACACAGGCCGCGCAACGCTGTGACTTAGGACTCTATTAAAAACGCCATATAGTTTAAACTTCTATTACAAAAGTCATTGGTAACATTTACTTAATTCTTTTTTTCTACCTAAGCTGAAGGTCTAGACTCGTCTAGAGAGACCATATCAGCGTAACCTTAGCCAGTAGGTAAGCTCACGGGGCTCAAACCTGACGATGTTGCTAACACGAACCCTAGCAAGAGCCGTGTTTCGCAGAATCTACCACCGGATCGGAAACGCGATCCACTGAGAAGATCCGACGAGAAACTCAGTGGGTTATTTACTTAAGTATGTTTTACCCCATAGACACAGCAACACCTCATGGTTTGAGCTTCGACAGCTCACCTACACACCCTAGGGTAACGCTTATATAGCCTCTCAAGGCTAACAGCATAGGTAGGGAAAAAAAATAGTTTGATTAACGACGATTTGTAGGAAAAACTACAACATGAAGAGGATCAACCAGTCTTGAATAGTTGATAACGAAGCGAACAAAAAATAATATGACTCATCTAAAATATGCAGCCTAATAGAGAAACCCTTCGTATTTGGAGTCGGACTAAGTTGATAGCGTCGACCGCTGCGTGACGTCACTTCGCTTCAGGGTTATCGTGTATAGCTGACCTTATTCATCGTCCAGTTAACCTAGGCATCCTGAGTTACCTAGATAAGATTTGACCTCCGCAGCTCCGCGGTACAAAGCTAGGTGGATTGAGTTATCTCAAGGCAAGCGCAGATATTTAGCTTGTGATGCTCAGTGCGGGGAGTCTAGACCTAATCCATCTAGTCAGGAACGAGTATTTCCCTGGAGTGCCAACAGCGACTGTACCTAGTTTGAAGACATCCCGATAATCGATATTCGATTAAAGATCGCGTGGTACAGATCACATAACCCCTTATTCTCGTTTGTAGCCGCGAACATTGTAAAGTATTTGAGGCGTCTTAAGTAAGCGTCTATCCTAAATTGTCATTCTAATTAAGCGCAAGATTAACAGAAAAATGGATAGCCCAATGCACGTATTCAGCACAAGAGTTTTGACCATCGGGCGAGCTGTCGTATAGCCGCAAGCGTGTCTCAACCGTGAAAGGGAACCATGAAAAGAGGGTCGTTTAAATTGTCGATGACTCTGGTCTCATCGTTTGAAACATCTGGGCGTATGGAGAAACATTGGTTCTCTATTTTTTTAATTTTTTTTTATTGCTTAGATGGATGGACGAGCTCACAGCCCACCTGGTGTTAAGTGGTTACTGGAGCACATAGACATCTACAACGGAAATGCGCCACCCACCTTGAGATATCAGTCCTAAGATCTCAGTATAGTTACAACGGCTGCCCTACCCTTCAGACCGAAACGCATTACTGCTTCACGGCAGAAATAGGCAGGGCGGTGGTACCTACCCGCGCGGACTCACAAGAGGTCCTACCACCTCTATTTTGTACTGTACGCTCCATAGGGAGTCTTTATTGGAATTGTTTGAAATAAGTTAATCACTTTGTTACCACTCACACTTTGTTACATCACTCTTCAACATAGCAGAGTTGTTCCCTAACGTATGGAATTGCTACATTTATCAAAAGCGCAATTATCAAAAATCATTTTTATTATTATTACGTATCATCCTATTCTAGATTAGCTGCCCTCCCTAAACTAAACTGAAATAACCGTTTATTGATTGCTATGATATGTACTTATTTAAACTAATTTGGAAAATAATTCTCAATGATTGGCAATAAGTTAGCCATCAGCTTGTTCTGAAATGACAGTGAGCAGACACTGATGCCTATTTGTCTGCTTTCGAAAATATTACAAAAAAAGGGGACAAAAATCAATATATACTACAATACTTGTTTATAAAATTCCAACTTAAGAAAAAAACAAGATATTAACAATCTTGCTTTTTCCATTTTAAATAACAAGCTTCAAGGGCGAGGTCTAACATTTATGATATAGGAAATGCTTGGCCAAATTATAATTTATTTTCCTAACTAATTTACTGTATTGAGAAACACAAGTGGTTGGACAAATTACACCTTCTGTGAATAAAATTTCGTATAGTTAAAACAATGTAAAACAATGTAACAAAGTAATAACAAAACAATGTATATAAGAAATAAGTTTCCTTGGATTAAAAAGTTTCTGCAGAAGATCAAGAGGGGGGTGCCCTCTTGATCTCACTAAGAGTGTCATCACACACTTCAACATTGATTAAATATACAAAACAGTGTATGTTTTAAGCAAGAAACAAAGCACTTGCAAGTTATTTTTTATGAACAAAAAAAAATTTTTATTATTATTTTTCAATGCAAATTTACAAATGTTGGTGGTACAGGTAGGTTTTGTAAACTGACTGATATTATACACCAAACTTTCAAAATATGTTAATAAACATTCAAGTACGGTTCGGGGAAAACAAACAGTCCCAAACTTGTGTCATTCAAATATGCAGGTAATTAATTCTAAATTCAGTTTTCAAAAATCAATCCTGAGTAGTTTACTCCCTGAGTTACCATAAATGACGAATTTTAAAAACTCCTCTGCGTTTATAATAACACGAAATAGAAAAAAAGGACCAAATAGAAAAAAAATGGCTCTGCTATAACCCAAACAAGCTGGAATACAGCCTTCCACAAACATATCACAAAAAATGCCACAAGCAGTAGGCAGCAACATCCTGGACTGAATATTTTTATTCTAAATCAGTGTAAAGGAGTTTGTCATGAGGCAAGAGACTGAAAGCCTGTCTATCCTAAGAGCTTATGTGCATAGTCTGTAGACTGATTTTTATTTTTAATATCTGATATGTAGGTACTCATATGAAGTCTCTACAGATTAGTATGTTATGGATTCTGTTAAGTTGGTGTGCCTTGCACTTGTGTTACAATATAAATTAATACAACAAATGATTAAAGCCACAATAGCATTAGAATAATCAAATCTACATGAAAGCAAATCAATAATGCTCTTTCCCTGACTTAACTTGAATTTAAACTTGAACTAACCAAAACCTATTAACATAACTTGGTCATGTATTATCTCAAAAATTCTAAATATGTAATATAAATTGGAATGATACTTAAACCTCATTAGATTGTATAACTGATAACGATTTATCTACACTTTGCTTATGATGTCAGAGCTATGTGTGTTATTGCCTAAAGTAAACAAATACTGATTTGTTGTCCTTTGTGACATCACCAATACAATGCTGACTTCTCATTTAGTGGGATAGGGGTATGATCACGGATATTGGATCACATTCTGGAAGGTGCATTTTAGCCTGTATAGAAGTCAAGCTAAGATGATGTCATAAGCCTATTCTAAATAAATACTATTAAACCGAGACCCTGAACAAAGATTGTCAAAGTTTTTTTTTTTTTTTCGGGCCCAGGTCCGAACCTTTTACGAGGTCCCCGCGCCTAGGGGGGCGCGCGGCGTATGTGAGACTCAAAGATCTGCAGGTATTGAGAGCAGACCGCGGGCCCACCCACTAAACGACTCCCCTGCACTCTTACACTCTCCGTCCGGGGTCAAAACATGGTCAGAATAGGGGATGTCTAACTCAGACTTGGTTCAACCCAAACAGTGGAATACTGTAATCAGGTTCACTAACCACATGATCAGAAAAGCTGGGCATAAGTAGCTAAGAATCACCATACTGAGAATTGTCACAACTACTAGTCTCAGAACAATATGTTTTATTCTATAAAGCGACCAACTCATAATAGATTCAAATCACTTAGCACCAAACGCTTCTTAAAAAATCACCATCAGTAAATAAAATTCAATTCTTGTAGGCAGACTAACATGGCCCACCTGATGGTGAGTAGTTGCCATCTCCCATAGACGTCAGCAATGCCGGGGCAGAGCCAAGTTGCTGTCTATAAATTTTCTCATGAACTTCAAAGTAGTTTACAAAACTTACTAGTGGCTTAAGCTGATAAATGATCAGTTTAGAAAGTGTTTCCTCAAATGAATTTTATATTGGGGTTGTGAGTGCAGGAAGGTGTCGATAAACTCACCTTACAATTTTATTTCAACTTAACTATTGTAATTACAATATACTTGTTGAATGTCAAAACATGTTAGTTTTAAGTGAGATTGTCATGTGAGAAACCACAAAACAAATCTCTCTAGCTATCTACAAAATTCTCTTCGCAAGAAGGAAAATTAAATAACCTGGTTAAAATTAAAAATGAGTCTTTAACAAAATCAAGAATGGTAGTTCATAATTGATAAATGTCATTCAAACATGCTGATATTTCACTAACTGTAAATGTAGCACAAAAAGAGCCATCAAGCAGCTTCCAGTGTCCCTGAGCTTTGGATAAGAAAAAATATATTTTTGTATTTAATAGCATGTACATTCTCTTAGTAGTAAGGGGAGATCTGAATGCTACCTTCACCAGCCCAATTGTCAACCCAACTTGCATGCGCTGGATGGCAGCGGCGACTAACAGGTTGCCGTGGTACTCCCTGCTAGAAGACCAATGGGCAATGGCTACTGAGCAATGCCGGTATAACCATACACACCCATCAGGACAACCTATACAGAAGAGGTGTCAGAAACCTTGGGGATCAAATTCCCCCCAAAATGCTGGTGCAGAAGGCAACAGGAAACCAGTACACTAATTTCCCACGAGAGTCATGAGCAGGTCATATCCAATTGATGCATGACCACGACCACTCTGTCAAGAGTTGTACAAATAGGAAGAAGAACATTCTCTTCAATTACAACTTTTACTTCTGATAATCATAGCTGTAAAAATGTTGAATATTAACATCATACTGATAAATAATGAAGTATGTACTTAATGTAGTTAAGTTCAGTAGAATTGGTTTCAAAAAACTAAAATGGTAACAGATTATGTCTCAAAGTTGGAATGGAAAATTGCTGTATGGCAAATAAAGGTCAAACATTAAATGTCTATCTAGGCTCACTGCCTAAAAGAATATGATTATAAATTGAGTACAAGTACTACTAAGACAATCTGTTTTTGATTCTGGTCAAATAGGGTACTATCAGAAAAGAGAAAGTCTGCAAAGTTTGGGTGGCTTTCATTTTTTATATTTAAAACATTGTTAGTTCATTGTTAAAAAAAACAAATTTAGTGGTGAGTTACTGACTGACATTTTGATATATTAGATCTAAATACTATTTTCTGCCATTACAAGTTTTTAGTTATTCTATTCTCAAACTGTATTTGGTTCTAATGTATTCCAGGTGACTATGTGACCATTTTAAGGATTGAAACTGCTTATACTAATTGATCTAAATATTTTGTGTGGATTGGGACCTCTAGAAGTAGACAATTCTGTTTGAAAGCGATTTTTGTAAAAACGAAAACCAACCTTCTGCCTCTCGTGCCGCGATACAGAAAGATCAGAATATCTCAAATTGAATCCAACACTATTCATGTTGTTATCTTACAGAACCGTCAGTAATGCGTTTCATATTGTCAAATTATCCTCCACACAAGGCAGTAGGCAGTGCGTCAGTACGTGATGTCATTTGAGACAATTGGGCCAAATTGTAATTTTTTTGCACAAGTCTGAAGCTACAAACACATTTAACTTGCTTCTCCCCGTTCCACTTGTTATTTATAGAACATTTCACGGAACTAACGGATTAACAGCTCTACGAATGCATTCGGCATAATACAATCATTTGAGCTGCATATCAATGAACAAAAAAGACTTTTTGCAACCGTCTCTACAATGCATCAATCATTACTCGTACTATCTATATGAAAGCGCCTAAAAATTCAAACAATGTTCTTTATGAAGTTAAATATGTATAAATCATCGTACATCTGCCACATTGATATAATAAATGCGTTTGATGAATAAATACCTGTAAATTTTGCATTACCATTTGGATCCGACCTTTAGAAACAATAACTTCCTTCCACAAATCAACACATTACACCCATAATTTGCAAGCCAACAATGTATATTAATGTATATAATAGAGAAACAGCAACACAATAAACAATCACGTATAATTTTTACACGGAAAAATAGTCCCACCGTTTTCAAAATCACTTGAAAAATTCAGTGATACGCGCATGTCCGACGAAAATTTACATCACGTGACCTGTCATGGCGTCGTGGTGACTTTTTTTTTGGACTTGGCAAAAGAATCGAAAAGTTTATATTTTCCTTTCTATATTTTTTCTTTGTTGTACGTAGTAACGTATTAAACTTTTAAAAGATAATTCATAAAAAAAAAAAACATTATACTGTTAAATCCACGCTAGTAACACTTTAACACCAAAACTAATCATGCACAAATCTTGTTAGTTTTTCGGGTTCGCAATATTTTCTTTATTTTTTTTTATTTGTGCTTTCGCAGATAAAAAAAACCAGCAATAAATTCAAGATGTTTTAATAATATCATAAGATTGTGACTTTTGACGAGAACACGAAAAGTGGTTTGATTTTTTAATTAATTGATTTATATATTTATTTCACACCTCATACACATTATCATACATTGGCTGACTTAATGCCTAAAGCATTTTCTGCCTGTGGATCAAAGGCGATGCTGAAAGGAACGTAGTAATTTCGTAGTAATTGATTAAATATTTAAAGGAGAATAGATACTACATAATATATTAAGCTATTTTAATCCCATTTAAAGCTAATTTAGTTTTTCTGCAGGTTTAGATGTAACAGTGGTGGTTTAATAAGTACTTAGCATCTGTGAAAGTAGATAAATTTGGGAAAACGGAAAAAAAGCGCTGTATGTGGTATTTAAGGTCCTTCCAAAAATTCCACTGAACTTTCAATAAATAGCTACCATTTCACGGAGATTTTATTTCATCTTATCTCGTTTCTTTTAAATTCACCCTAATTGATTACAATTTAAAATAAATCAACTTCACTGATAATTTCATATAGATTTTATATAATTTTCCGCTCTATATTATATCCATGCTTAAAACAGAATAGGTATGTAAACATAAGGCTGTATGGCAAAATACTTTCATATTACCTGTTGGAAAAACAGAACATACACTACACTAACACATATACATAAATATTGACACACTCGATACACATTGATACACTACATAGATACACTTAATATGAGACTTACATACTAGATGGTGCTGCTAAAATCAAACTAACAATCGAATTTAAACGATACTTCTTTAAAAATGGACGATTTTATTTTAAATTATTTAGGTGCTCATAAAGTAACGAAGTAATTTATTCGTGTTTGCGTATTAGTTATAAGAAGATAAAAAATATGCTAACGTTCTTTTTCTTTTTATTTAGAAAAATCATGTTGAAATGCAACACATTTCGTTATTATTCTGGTGTAGTAGCTAACTGTAGTAACTTGGTAATTAATTAAACTTCCTAGAAAAATAAAATACCAGTTAATGGCATTCGGCATCTCGTTCTCAGCCAAGGTCTACAATCATCAAAATCGTCACAGAATAATTTTCTAAGGTAACGTGGCCGGTTATTATTTCGTAACTTTCTTCTGACGCACAAACAAACACTTTCTTCATCTGTGCTTTCTCGTGAAAAACGTGTTTTTTTCATTTGTACATTTTGTTTTTTTGGTGCTACGCCTTTTACTGGAACAGACTGTAACTCGTTCGTTCCAACTTCACGAACCTTAGCTTTGAATTCTGCAAAGTAGTCTCTGAAAGGTGGTAGTAGTCTTTGTAGGTCAGTTTCTAAAATAGTTTCTGGATCAGGTCCACTAGATGGCAATGCTCGAGCAGAGTTTATTTTTTCCGTATTAATATTAACTGCAGACTTATTGCTTAATTGACGATTATCTTTTGTGGAAGACATGATAACTCTAGCCTCGAAACCAGGAAAGGACGTTATAGTACCCTGCAAACTCCTGGGATTAATGCCCTCAATATTATATGAACTTTGAGGAGTCTTCCGTGAAGAGCTCCAAGTATCGTCAGCACGAATTTGTCTTGGTTTGTGTGACGTGATGCTAGGGTTTAGTGACTCTGGTTTCCTATGCCAGTTATAAGCAATTGATTGATTTGTCGATTGCATTCGATTCCTCATAGATTGGTCCTCTACATCTCTCAGGGGCACTATTTTTTTCATTCGACCCGTTAACTTATTTATAAATTTATTTACAAGTGCTGGATTCACTTCTTTACTTAGTTTTTGTAGGCAACTATTTATTTCACTTCTTATTTTACTGTCATTGGCCTCGTTAAAACCATTTCTTTGTAGATCAAGTAATTTATTTGTGAGTGTAATTTTCAGATGATTTTTTAGTTTTGCTTTCTCAGAGCCGTTTTCGGAGTCTTTCTCGGAGACTGCAAGCTCATTGAAGAAATCGTTCACATCGCTTTTCAATACGATTTCTCTGAGTTCTTCAAACACAACAGCCTGGCTAGGAACCGGTACTTTTGCAAGTTCGCTTATTAATTGATTTCTAACCATAAGCGGATCCAAATGTTGAATGTTCCCTTTAGTATCCAAGTTCATGAAATATCGTACTACTGCCTCATACAACTTCGTTTTAAACTCTTGTTTATCTTGTATTTCTGTACCTTGGTAATGGTAATAAAGCAAAAAATCATTAATAATTTCTTCAACTAGAGTATTAAAATCGCAAGCTTCACCCTGGGTAAGATTTTTCGGCTCTTCAAGTACAGATTTAACTGTATCTTTTAAACTTTGCTTGTAATCATAACGAGCCTTTTCTTCTGCGATGAAACATTTTGTGTTTATAATGTTTTCTTTTAAAACACGTTTTCTATCTTCTTTACTTTGTTGTAATTCGTAAGATTGCGGCAGTGCTGATAGAATTTTGTCTAATTCTTCATCAAGTAACACGTTATAAAGATAATCATTGGCAAATATTTTCGCATCACAATTTAGTTCACTCACTTTCATTATGATCTTCAAGAATACAAATTGTTTGATTTCATTCGCTACTTCCATTTCCTGTGGCGTTGCACAAGGCAGGGGCAGATCATTGCACCATTTATTTACTATTTCAATAATAAGATCTACAGGACTTTTTTTTAACTGATCATCGATGTTTACATGAGGCGAACCAGTGGTTGGAGTTGAACCAGTCTCTATTTTATTATCTAGACCTGTGCTGCTAGAACTGCTCTTTGTTTTGCTTTTACTTTTGCTCTTACCCTTAGAATCTTTACGACGATCTTTGCTCGTAATTTTTCTACGATCTGTATTAGATTTTAGAGCAACGCATAATTTATCAACTTGATCGTCAATGTTGTTGTTTGGCAATAAAGGCAGCTTTTCCAGTAGTTTATTAATCTCTCGTCGTATCTTATCATCCGGTTTCTGTTCGATTCTTTCTATTTCACATATTCGTTTTGCCAACGTGGATAATAATTTGTCCCACTGCAACAGCACGATTACATCGTCTGTACTTTTTATAGGTAAACTTTCGAACCAAGCGTCAATTTCACACCTCAGTTTCACTTCCTCGAGTAGTTCGATCACAGATGTCTCGTTAGGTATCGGTACTTTAAATAAGGAACTGTATAATTCGTTGTAAATTTGTTCTTTACTCAATGGTAAAGCGTTCTTATTCCGAGCGCTCTGAAAATATTTATCTATTGCCTTTTTAAGACGTTGTTCGTATATTTCCTTAAGATCGTCGTTACTGTGATCGAAATTCTCCAAAATAAACATTTCTACTAAGCGAATCTTATATATCTCGAAACCTGGATCATAGGCTTGCTTAGGTAAAGGATTGGGGATCGATGCATCTAGTGCCTCCTGTAGAGATTGTTTATAAATATCACCGGCAATTTTTTCTTTGATGGCATTTGTTAAATCAATCACATTATTGATCAAAGTTGATTTAAGTTTATTGATATTCTTTGGTAATTCAGATATGTCTTGTAGATGGCAATCAACTGTATTAGTTAACATTTCTTTGTACAGAAAGTCGTTATTAAAAACTTTTGGATCATTGTTTAAGTCTCCAATTTTTTTAAACAACATATTTACGAATTTATCTTTATCTGGTTTATTTATTTCGTCATTTTCTGATTTTATTGACAGGCCATTTGCAAATTTATTTAATTCTTCTAGCAAAAACTTCCCCGGATCCTTTTGATATTGTTTGTTTTTTGGACAAGACGTTTTACATTTCACTGGAGCTGAGTTCTTCTGTTTTATACTTGAAAGATTCAGCAAAGATGATCTAGAATTTCTTTGTTTACTCGACTTTTCTATTCTATTTATTAATTGTTGCATGACGACTGGGATAATTACTGATTCCTGATTTTTATCCATAGGTAGTCTTTCAATCCATTTCTTGACATACTCCGCAAAGTCTGTATCGGCTCGAGTAGCGTCTGCTGTCCTATCTTTTCTAACATAATGATCATATATCTTTTCAGATAACTCAGATATCATAATAGCTCTGTTTTCTTCCTCAGAATCATTGGTAATTGGGAGCAAAGGAAGGTTTTGAAGCCAATCTGTTATTTCTTCTATATAATCGAGTTCATATTCAAATCTCTTTATCGTTTCATGACCGGGCTCGGCAACTTCATGTAAATGATTATAAACTTGAGTTTTACTCAAAGCTTCGGGATTACTTGTTCCATTTATAATTCTTTTGGCTTCCTCTAATAATCGAATAGTCCATACTTCAATTTTCAAAGGGTCATCTTCATCTACAGCATACCTTTGGATAAACTCACTAATAATATCATCAAGATTAATCGGGTCAGGGGGTAGCGCAGTAGTTTTACTTTGACTTTTGTTCCTAAATTCAGCTATACTCGATAAAAGCTCTTTTATCTCCCATCTCATGGCATATTGTTGCGGTTCCGGTATAGCCAGGAGACGTATGTAAGTATCAATTATATCAGCTAAGTATTTATCGTAATTCATCGCATCAGGGTTTATTTTTCGTTCTTCTTCAATATCAACTATGTACGATACAACATTGGTTATAAATTCAATTCGATGATTGTTCCCTCGACACCTGTATGAAGAATGTAACGGAAGAGTGTTCAACCAATCTGAAACAATGCGCATGTAATCGAGTTCGGTGAAAAACTTTTCCGGTAAAAAATCAACCGTGGGTTTTGATTTCGACAAGTTATCATACAGTTCTTTTCTAGTAGGAGCACTTAATTTTATTAACTCTCTTTTTAGTAAATAGCCAAGAGCTCCTCGTAGTTGTTGATCACTAGTATTGCAGTAATGCTCAACAAATTTCGTAACAAATTCCTGCATGGTTGTATTAGGGTCAACATACTCTACACTCGGTTGTTCTAAGTTAGAGGCTAATTTCTTTAACTTAAACGTTCTTTGGGCTTCTTCAGTCTGTATTCTATCTTGAATATTCTTTTCTAGATCTTCTTGTAGAGGCATGTTCTTGACACGATCTTTCAAACTTTCAACCAATTCCTGTATGTGTGCCTTTTCGTCATCACCTATTACATTAACCAACCATTTTTCTACTTCCTCTTGTATTTCTTTCTCTGGTCGCTTATCAACAAGCAGTTTATGAATAGTTTCAGCTAAATCATGAATCATTTTATTACGTACAGTTCTGTCCTTAAATGTGTATATATCATCAGGTTGTTCGTTCACCCAAATTGAAATTTCGTCTTCTATGTGGAGACCACCGGCTGGTATGTAGTCAGGTTTCATCAAATTGCCTCTTTCAATGTATTTCAGATTTTCCATAACTTGCCGGTTACCGTGATGTGGTTTAGTTAAATCTGGTGTAGGCAATTTTATAATTTTGTTGTATAACTCATCAATTTTATCCAAACTTTCTTCCGCAGTTTCATAAATAGAAAATTTTTGAACCCATTTTATCATAGCACTTTTAAGATATAGTTCCAATTCGTTTTTAGGATATATTTGTTCCGCCTTTATTTCATCTACCAAACATCCAGTCAAATCTTTAATCATTGTGTCTTTAAAGAGTTTTTCCTCTCTGTTATTGAATTTTTTCGGTAGGGTGTCCATCCATTCTGTGACCAGCTCCACAACTAAGTCATAATACTCAGTTTCTTCTTTATTCATTTTTGGTATGTCTTTCTTTTTTCTTTTTTTCTTTGGTGTTGAAGTTGTGAGATATCCCAAAGCGGTAGGAGAAATCTTCTCTTTAGATGTATAAACTGTAACGATTCCCGATAGCTGAGGAGTGAAAGAACTATGTTTGAATTCACAGCTGATATCATCGATTTTTAATGTAACGTTATCCAGTAGAAAGTCAGCTAAGCCCTCCTCTTTTGTACGAGATAAATCTACGTAGCTGTGGAGAGCATTACATATGTCTTTTTTAACTGATTTGACGTCAGCCTTACGAGATATAGCATTGACAATAAGTTTTGAAATGACGTCGGCTATTTCAACTTTAGGTAATTGAAAACCAATTTTGTTTAAAACAATTTGTATCTCTTTTGAAAGAGATCTTTCTAGATCAACATCAAAATCCATTTCATTTTTAGTAGACTTAGAAAGTGAATTTACCGCTGAAACTTTCCATTTCTTGTCTGGAATGTTCATTTCGCTTATAAGCCCATCGGTATTCATAGAAACGGATGGATTGTAAGGTATTTGACCATATGTTATATATTCATTAATACTGGCCACATCTTTATCCATAGTTTCATTATTTACATTAAAGTCTCTATTCAAAGTTAGAATTTTGTCTTTGAGATCATGAAATATATTAGTTATAGATAAATCAGGATTAACACCACACGGAGGTGGCTGGTTATTCAGTTTATTTAAATATTTAACAATTTCTGATTTCAATTTATGTTCATAATTAGGATCATTTACTTCATTTATATCTCGATAAATGGTTTCGACAAAATAATTCAAACTACTCTCTTGTTCTTCCCTGTTAAGTTTAGAAATAGCACCCGAATCGGGATTTAACTTTAATTCACTAATCAATTTTGTTATCTCCGTTTGCAATTTATCTTTGTATGAGTATGAGGTTGTAGCGTATTCAATTGTTAAATTACTTGGCTCTTTTAATTCCACACAATCTTCAACTAGATTCATATTTTGTGCATGACTTTTATCGACAATGTATTCTTCATTTGAAACATCGACTGTTGGAATTGATCGGGATGTATGAGTCCCGAGGCGGGCATCTGATTTTTTCACAAATGATACGTTAGGTTTTATTGATGTTACGCTTATCTGAAATTAAATTTCTAATTCAAACTGACTTATTAATTATATATTCGCACAGCATATTTTCTTGACCGACACACGAGAGAGTGAAAGCGAGCTACTGCCGTTGTGGTACGGCTCAGAAGGATACATTTAACAATCTATCCCGCGGTGTAGTTCACGTGGTCACTAATTAAATCAAGCACCGGTCATCGTCCTCGTCGAACCCGTCGCTTGCGACGAAGGGCTCGACGAATAAGTTAACCCGCAGACAGACCCCACTGAGTTTCTCGCCGGATCTTCTCAGTGAGTCGTGTGTCCGATTTGGTAGTAGTTTCTGCAAAGCACTGCTCTTGCTAGGGCTAGTGTTAGTAACGTCGTCAGGTTAGAGCCCCGTGAGCTCACCTTCCAGTTCTGTGAATCTAGTCTAACCCCCCAAAGAGGATACTAGAATAGGGAGGAAAAAAAACGAATGAAAGTTATTAAAGAATGTGAATTACCAAACCATCCAGTGATTTATACTGGTTTTTATTCAAATGTTGCTTTTCCTTGCGAACGAACTTATTTCGATCGTGTTTGCAATGTCTCTGCTGATGTTGTTCCAGCCGTTCTTTTGTCGCAGCGCACTGGTTTTGATTACAAGACTGTAACCCAATATGAGCTCACAATTAAAAAGAATTAGTAACAATTATGACTATGACTTACGTGATCTGGTTTATGTGCATTGATGATAGACGAGGTCTCGGCTCTCCTGGCACAGCGTTATCTGATTACCGGAATGCAGCCGCCCACTTTGATTCATCTAGTCCAAATCTCTTACTGGTGGTAGGACCTCTTGTGAGTCCGCACGGGTAGGTACCAGCACCCTGCCTATTTCAGCTGTGAAGCATTAATGCGTTTCGGTTTGAAGGGCAGGGCAGCCGTTGTACTGTTAAAAAAGTGAGACATACTCATGTCTCAAGGTGGGTTGCGGCATTTACGTTGTAACTGTCTATGGGCTCCGGTAATCACTTATCACCAGATCTAAGCAATACAAAATTGTCGTGACGTTCGATAGGTGTGCATCAGGCGAGATGTCTGCACTACCACGTCCGACAGTCAGAGGCTTCCGACTGACGAGATGTCGGTGAGGTGAACACGGGCTCAATTTGTATGGAATGGGATCGTTTTCGCACGTTTGCCGCTAGGGGCGCTGTTCCAACTGCATACAAAATTGGGCTAACTTTTACGCTATGTGTTCCCATTGTGTTCGATAAAACCTGTCAGTGCGGGAAACCTACGTAGTAACTTTTTATTTTGTCTTTAAAGCTCCTCATATTGTTAAAATATCTGACGTTGATTGTTTGGTTCACTCCCGCGTCGTCCGCGTCCTTTTTCGACCAATAGCTGCATATGATGTGTCGGTCTCTACGCGTCTGTCCTCGAGCGATGCTGGATTGTAGTTTTATGGGTATCCTCGAGGCTTTCGCTTGTGACTCTCGTGTTGCCGCAGCTGGAAATATAATCATTATAAAGCATAATATTATTGGGTCGTTTTTAATTTTGTAAGTAGTGTCCTATCCCAATTCACGGAAGTGTAAAATTTTTTTATTTTTTTTTGTGTTGCCCTTGTAAGCAGACGAGCATACGGCCCACCTGATGGTGAGTGGTTACCGTCGCCCATGGACTTCAGCAATGCCAGGGACAGAGCCAAGCCGCTGCCTACCGCTTAGCACTCTCCACAAGCCTCTTTTAAAGAAGGACATGTCATAGCGCTCAGGAAACACCGTGGAGGGAAGCTCATTCCATAGCCGGATGGTACGTGGCAAAAATGGTTCCCAGGTGCGCTGTGAGGACGTGGATGCGTAAAAATATAATGATTACGAGTGAAAAATAAAAATATACCTATTAAATATCCGCGATACGGCCATGCTCCTCTTAATTTCCAAGTACATGATTTGACATGAGTTAAACGGAATACACAGCCCTAATAAATCTACTTACAATTAATTGTATTTTTCAGTGTATCTTGTAAAAGTTCATTCACCGTTTCTGTGGCGGCCATTTTGATCATTGATGTTTTGTATTATTTCATGTGTGGCTAGCTATTAATTATCGACATCATAAATATTGTTTACTTTAAATTTAGATTAATCAATTTAAATACATAAAGGTTTAAGGTTTCGTTGCGTCCATTTTCAATTTTTATTTTGACATTTCTTCAACATCTGTCAATAATATTCTCTTGTGAAAAGTTCTCAAAACAATGTTAAAACCATAACAGCTGGACGACAAAATGATTTTTTTCTCCTACCTACGCCGAAAGTTCGGTTTTCCTCCCGCTGTACAGGGAAGAAAGTCTAACTTTTTCTCCCTGGGTACAAGTACCAACTAAAAAACAGTTACATTGTTTTTTTAAGAATACGGGGGGCTCCGCCCCCCGCTACCCCCGGCCAGGGCTTCGCCCCTGGACCCCGGCTCGGTACTCCACGAACTTTCAGCCTGGTAGGGGAAAAAATAGTGTTTGCCACGCGGCAATTTTACACACGGGAGGAAATGTCCAACTTTTCTCCCTTGGTGCACAATATATTATGGTTGACGGACAGACAGAATGAAAAGTTACTCGACTCTGTTCAATTGTTTCAAAATAAAATTGTATTGTTCATATCATGTATGTATAATTTTTTATGTTTTAGCAAAATAAATTCTGATAACGTAACTTATTTCAAACCAAACAAAACCCACAATTAATTTTGTGTAAGATTTTGTTTTTAAAAGGAACTTGAATCATTGTGTAATTAATTACTATTTAAATTCAAATAACATTTTTTCTTTTTATACTTGATGTAATTTACTGTGTTTGTCTAAATATACTGTTATTGTTCACTGTTCACTGATTGAGTTTAGGAGCTAGCCACTCTGCTTTAAAAAAGAAATGTTTTTGTGTTGATTCTGTCTATTGTCGGTAGGTACTTGTTGATTGCAGTACTTTCAACCTTTGCTGATAGTGGTAGTTTTCCAATGACAGGACTAGAGCGCATTATGCGGCATAATGCTCAACGTTGAGTGTTCCAACTACAGCAACTCGAAGCACAATCGAGCACTCTCAAAAGTACTGCTCTCGCGTGATGCTCGCAATCGATACCGACTCAGTGACACAAAATGGACAAGTGTTTTTTCTTTAAGTTGGCATTGATCTAAATTTTGTTTATGTTATCGTTAGTAATATTATTTAATGTTGAAAAAAATTGTAAGGCTTTCGTTTCGTCGTAGTTTCTTATAAATAATCAATGTTAATTAAAAATGTGCTAACTTAGCGCACTCTGCTGATGCATTTGAAAACTAATTCACGTTCCAATTAAGCTTCAGCATAATTCGGCATTGTGCGCCACTGAGTCGCATTATGCTCTGTAATTGGAAAACTACCAAACATTATGTACCCTTTAATGATATTCTAATCTATATATATATAAAAATGAATTGCTGTTCGTTAGTCTCGCTAAAACTCGAGAACGGCTGGACCGATTTGGCTAATTTTGGTCTTGAATTATTTGTGGAAGTCCAGGGAAGGTTTAGAAGGTTTAAATAAATATGAAAATGCTCGGAATTAAATAAAAATAACAATTTTGTTTTTCCTTTGATGTGTTCCCCGTCGGACGGATTATTTTAGGTCTTTTATTTATCGATTGAGGCACTACGAAGTCTGCTGGGTCAGCTAGTGTGCTCATAAATAAGCTCAACTTTAATATGGTATTAAATTTAATTAGGCGTATTTGGTCTTTAGGTTCACGCTTTAATCTTTTTTGGTTGATTTTAATTTCTGTCTGATCGCTATGGCGGTTATTGAGCAATGCCTTCGTCCAACAGTTGACGTCTGTTGATGATGGTGATATCTCGAAAATGACTTTAGCGCAATGCAGGCTTATACAGTATTTCTGTTTTTCTAAGTTAATTACCGCTGTAGCCAATACCGTCTTTACCATAAGGGCACACGGGGCCCGTGCCCAGGGCCCCCATTCTCAGGGGGCCCCGAAAGACCGACAATTTCTCTCACACGTTTATTCCTAAAACATTTTTGTCGGGCACATTACACTTTTTCCACAAATCAGTAATCAGAAGGTATTTCCAAGGCATATACTATGCCTATAACAGAAGATTTTGCTCAACAGAAATCCCGAAAGAAACCGTTATCGAAATCGTAACCAAAAATACAGCAGCATTCCAATATCATTAATGACATATTATATCATACTGTATTTGATTACCTATAATAAATGGTCATACTCAGTAAAAAAATTTTAATATAATTCGCTTTTTTTACTTTCCAAAAGGGTCTCAAATTCTTGTGTGTCCAAGGGCCCCATCCTAGTTTAAGACGTCCCTGGCTGTAGCCCAGTTACCGCCACACAAACATGCTTAACTCCCCGCCTACACCGAGGAGAACATTTTGCGCCTCAGAAAATAAAATGGCGTCGCCGCGGCGCAACAATAAGAACTTAATTCGTGCAATTGTTTCCACGACAATATTTATTTAACGTTATTCGTTATGAGGAACAATACTTTGTATAATTAATGTTGATCGGTGCCTAACGACGCAGTTGTTTATTATTCGCGCAACATGCTGGCGCGGTGTCTGGCTGTAGCCGCTGTGGCAGTTTTGGCTTCTGCAGGTAAGTCCGATGTTTCTTGATTAGGTCAATTATAGCTACACGTAACGCTTTGTGATTAATCGGGAAGACTATTGATTAATGATATTCCACAACACGGGGTATATTAGTCCTGGTGTTAAACAGTTGTCGAAGTCCATCGAATTTCCATTGAATTTCGCCGGCATCCTCATCAGGCAACACTGTTGCAAGGAATTCTTCCCAAATCCGGATGGTGCGTGGCAAAATTAACATCTAGAAAAGTATTGAACGCAGCTGTTCAGATAGTAGGTTTGAAGATAAATCTAGTGCTGGACGGCACGGTGGTAAAAAGGAGATGGTATTTTTTTATTTTATTTTATTGCCTAGGTGTGTGGACGAGCTCACAGCCCACCTGGTGTTAAGTGGTTACTGGAACCCATAGACATCTACAATGTAAATGCGCCACACACCTTAAAATTGAATCATTTCCACTAATGTCTTACAGAAGTCGTTCTGGTACAAAACCCAGAGGACCTGTCTAAAATTACAAGTGAGGGACGGCTGTTTTCTCTGCAGCAGAAGGTGGTAGGACTGTGGACCCACTGCATGCGTACTAACAAGAAGCCCCACCACTCATTGCTATATAATCTTGTACCGGTCTCGATCCACAGGGCCACCGAGTCCGATCTACAGGCCCTGCTACTTGGACGATTACAAATGCATCTCCGACCACCTGGCCGCGATCTCGAAATGTATCCCGGGCAGAGGGCAGATCCCCTCGCAGTACGAGATACCGGTGTTCCGGTTTGAAATACCATACTTCAACGCCACCTACGTCGACCATAATCTCATTACCCGTAACCACGACAAATGCCGGGTCAGCGAATTTTAGTAAGTTCTACGGGGCTTCTATCTTTTTCCCTGGTGCTTCATACCTTTTTCCCTGTCCCAGTCCTCTTGCTACCTGTAGCCTTCTTGTCTAAGAAGAACGATGGGACTATGCCGGTGTTTGAATCCCACAAGCGGGTACCAGCTTCTCTAAAGAAATACGTATACTTCGACGCATACGTGTGAGAGTTCACACGTGTTCATGGACATCTTCACGTTCAGAAATAGCATCGTGTAGTTAAATCATACGTTAGACTTTGAAAATTTGGGTAATGATCGGTGGCCTCACCATCTTGCCTATTTCAGCCGCGAAGTAGTCACGCATTCCCGTCGAGAGCGGGGCAACCTAATGTGTCAAGGTGAGTGCGGGCATTCGTGACGTAATAAACACTATGGACTTCTCATAAGTCGGAAGTCCGTCTGCCAAACTTAACTATAGTAGAATTATTTTGTCCGTGCAGTTTGGGTCATAAAAAAATCGGAACGGTGAAGCGAGTATTTCGCTTTCTCTTCCACTCACGAGCCTTATGGACGGGCATAGTGATGCGCATTATTGTTGTCGATAAGCGTTATCGATATTGTATTTAGTTTTGTCATTTTGTGGGTTAGTGATAAAAATGAAAGAAAAAATCACTAATCGAACACTTACATGACATATCGCCGCAGCAAATTAACGAGAACGGCAGAAATTAACACTTTGTTACTTTTCGGGATCTATTGTTATTTCAGTGAAATTTTTTAACCCATTGTTGATAACAACACGTGCACATATTATTTTGAATAAATTCTGCCGTTTTGATACAAAACAAAGGAGTACCCATTGTGTCACTAAAGAATCAGAGAACGAATGCATAAAAACACATCTCTCTTCGACATAATGTACTATAATTTGCAGGTAGGTACAACAAATGACTCATAACTGCATCACCACCCTTCGTATGCCACCCCGCCACCGTGTACCTGATGACTAATTTGTTTTTATCGATATTGGCGTTGCGCCCGCGCAACATGCTCACCGCCCTAGCCGGGCTATGTTTTATGACCCAAACTGCACGGACAAAATAATAATAATTTTACTATAGCAAATAAAACTTGGATGAGGTACCTACGGTTGGGCTTCTGCCTTAGCAGAAGCCCCACCGTATCCATTTCCGAGGATCTTAATCCTCGGAAATATAGCATACGTCTGAGAAAGTATGAAAGGTCGTGATACATTTTGTGTGACGATTTTTAAATTATCATTATTTATGTTAAATTAAAATAATTGAGGGTAGGTAAATTAAAATATTTATTTAAGCTTACCTTTGCATTCCAACCACCTTCAGTAGATGTTAGAAAATACGTTTTGTTTGCAGTGACAATGTGAGAACTTTAAAAACAGTTTTAACCGTGGACTGTCCGTGGCTGAACTTTGAATCCAACCGGACCTTGGCTCAGCACATGTCGTTCAAGGAAGACGTCGTCTTAAGCTTCTACATCAATGGATCTTATCGTAAGTTTCCAGGAGTACACGGTACATGCTTTTTTAAAACTAGTGGGTAGGCTGACCTAAGGGTGAGCTGGCTTATTTTTCGTTAAAACAGACTAAACTATAATTTTACTATTACTATTTTATTACGTTAATAATCTTCTTATTTCTCTACCTTATCCCACTAGGTGGGGTCGGCACAGCTAATTTTTCTCTTTCATTCTCTTCTATCAGCCGTCATTTCAACACTCATTCCTTTCTCTCTCTCTCATATCGTCATTCACACATTCCGTTCATGTCTTCTTCGGTCGACCTCTTCCCCCTCTACCTTGCACGACCATTTCCATACATCTCCTAGTCACACGCATCTTCTCTCTACGCATCACATGTCCACACCACGTTAATACTATTTTATTCAACAGCTTTGATCAGGCTAACGACAGTGTTTGATAAGGGCAACAATTTCGACTTGTGTTCGGCTTTCACGTTCGCAGACCTGGCCGGGGGTCTGCCCATCTTCCACATTAACCCTAATGGTGAGCAGATAAAGTCTGGATTACACTGGATATGAGCTATGCGTTTATAAGGGCGGGTGCACGTCAACGTTGTACCATGTATTGTTTTCCAGACCAACGCACAGCGCAGTGGTTGTCTAAAGATCTGACCCTGCTGCACATTTACGAGAGAGAGCACATCTTCGGAAAGAGGAACTGGCTGGCGAGGTCCTTCATCAGCAGAACACTCTGCGACTTCGGTTGCCACCACTGAGCGACATTTCTCCAACATAATATTCTATTTCGCAAATACTTTTCGACATATGGCCTTTTCGCATTAAAAGTGTACAATTTTCAAAAATATATAAATATATGCGGAATCATTTGGTATCACTAGTATTTTTCTCATAAATACTGTCAAAAGAGCGTAGTTTAGTTTTAGTTTACTTATGTTTCGACTACTATTCACAAAATTAATACATAATTTTATAAAAGACAGAAAATGTAACTGGTAAAAAATAAATGTTGCAAAGATGTTTAATATTAAAAAAATTACATGTTAAACCTTTAAAACACTCTCCTATAAAATTTTAGATTAGAAAAGATTAGAAATGATACAGTTTTAATGCGAGAAGACGTTGTACCAAACATCCAATGAATATTGTTCCGTCTGTGATTTACTTCTCATCTGAAACTTTTTGACATCACTATTCTGAATTCCAAAATTGAAATTTCAAATAAAACACAGAGCGAATTGATCCAAATTTATTGTCTTTTTTTTTAATTTTCAACAGCCGTGACTCTAGAATCGTAATCATATGTCGATTTTACAGTTTTCATCAAAGTACTGTATTTAAGTCTATATCAACGTAGGTTTTGTTAAACATAACATAATAAAAGAATACAACTGCACGCTATATATTAAATAAACAAATGAACTATAAACTTTTTACGAATAATATTTAAGACTAGCAACCCGCCGTCGCTTCGCTTCGGAAACATTAAACTTTATTATTGATAGCTGAGTCCCGCGATGTTACCCGCGGTTATTGTCGTATCGCGGGTGACGCCGCGAGGCGAAGCTAGTTTAAAAAAAAGTAGCCTAAGTTACTCCTTATATCATCAGCTACCTATCAGTGAAAGTCCCGTCAAAATCGGTCCAGCCGTTCCAGAGATTAGCCGGAACAAACAGACAGACACACAAAAATTGTAAAAAATGATATTTTGGTGTATGTACCGTATATATATATTCATACGCATGTAGTAAAAAGCGGCTATTTCAATATTACAAACAGACACACCAATTTTATTTATGTGTAAAGTTTTTTTTTCCACAAAAATGATCACAGTTTTTCTTTCAAACAACTTGTCTATTGATGGTCTAGAGCAGTCTTTCTCAAAGTGGGCGATAACGCCCCCTTGGGGGCGTTTGAAACCTAGAGGGGGGCGTTAAGGGGCCCAGGAAAAAATGGGGGTCGTTGATGTGGGTTAGGGGGGCGCTGTAAAATTTGTAATTTCATTTACTTTATAGTATTTTAAATTTCACTAAAATTAAAACTCACCTACTACACAATAACGAATAATTAGTTTATATTTCTACCCTGTATGATGTTATAAAAACTTAAAATAATTAACATAGATTTCGTAGGATAGCCCACACACCGTACGCAATGAAGTTGTAACAAGTTTCTGCGGAACGTGATCGATAATAGTTAAAAAATTAGAGCAATTTTACCTTAATTACATTGCACCAGAAATTATTTTAAACATTAGAAAAAGCTACCATGCAGAGTTTTAAAATATTATACATACGTAAACTAACACGAATTGAAGTTTTCTTTACTTTCTTTCTTGTTTTTAACATAAGGGCATTTTACAGCATTTTCCTAGCATTTTATAAGAAATTACTGATGTAAGAATCATAATTTTTATATAAAATGGAAATGCGTATATAATTATTGCTCAAAAACTTGTCTTAGATTATTATTTTTTACAATTTACCCATTACCGTCCAATGTCAAATAGTATAGTAAGCCTAAACAGCTTACTTATTGTAAACATTGTTTACTATTTTATTTCTATATAATAATAGGTTGGGGAAAAAGTTTCTTCGCATTTTTTAAGAAAATTCACAACATTTTTTAATATAATTTATTCACATTTAACTAAAGTATGTCGGTACCATTTTGTTCGATAATTTTTTGCCATCTTGTAGGTAGGGACATGATCCCATTGCTATAGAAATTTTGGGGCTTCTGATCAAAATACCGCGACAATTGGTTTTGGCAGTCCTCTTGTGATGTTAACCTGACACTGCCTAAAGAATTCGGAAGAGACCGAAACAGGTAGAAATCTGAAGGTCAAGCTCAGGACTATACGGCGGATGCATTAAAACCTCCCAGCCAAGGTCTCTTAATTTTTGCTGAGTGGCTAAAACTGTGTGAGCTCTAGCTTTATCGTGATGAAAAACCACACCCCTTCTGTTGATTAATTCCGGCCGCTTTCTCTCAACTTCTTGCTTTAATCTCATCAGTTGTTCGCAGTAGAGTTCAGAATCGATGGTCCTGCCTGGTGGTAACAGCTCATAATGTATAATGCCCTTCCAATCCCACTACACACACAGCATCACCTTGTTGCGAGTTAACCCGGGTTTCACCAGTCTATGAAGCCTGACCGGCCTTTGACCACAATCTTTCTCGTACGTTCTTGTCGTACGTGATCCACTTTTCATCACTAATTATCAGATTCTTCAAAAATGGTTCGGTTTCATTACGTCGTCATAAAGAATCACAAATGAGTACACGGTTCATTAGGTTTCTTTCAGTGAGCTTTTTTGTGTACTCAGTTTTTTCCAAATGCGTCATAACTATTTTGTGGTCAATTTCCAGTTCTTCAGTTACGTCGTAACTATTGATATGCCGATCTTGCCCCACTTTTTCAAAAATGGCATCGATTTTATCCGTAAGAGGGCGATCGCTCTGATGTGCATTTTTGACATCAAAATTTCCGGATTGAAAACGCTTAAACCAAATTTGTGCTACTCTCACAGACACTGCACTAGGTCCATAAACATCTAATCGCAATTTTTTTTCACGGCTTGCGTTGCTTTTTTCCTTTTTTGTAGTAAAATTTTAAAATGTATCGAATATCTTCATTAGATTCACTCATCTTGACAGTACGAAAAATAAATAAAAATTACACATCTTCCTAATTTTAATTTGGAATTATCTTCTTTCGAATTTAAACTTTTAATGATACCAAAACCAGCCAGATACAAATAGTATAGCCAAAGAGATTTTATTACAAGTTCATACATTTTTAAGCTATTGCATAGCTTTTATCGCGGGCTTTGAGCGCGGCGACCGAATCATGAAATTCCGTAACGAAAAAAACCTAACATCCCTCACACCGCCTACCATGTAGCTTGCGTTCAACACATTTACACGTTGCGCTTGTGTAGTGTTTGTGAATAAGGGCATGGCGTAAAGTCACACTGCATGCGCATCATGAAAAGTCTGCCCTAATAAAGCGTGGTTTTGTTTTATTATTGTTTTAATATTAAATTATCATTGTCTAATTATAATGTCATAAGTTGATAAAAAATGCTATGCAATAGCTTTACCGCCGCAGTTCCCGAGTGCCACAGGTTTTTTTTTGTCAGGAGGAAATCGCCGGACTTCTGCCCTTCACTGGGGATGGAGGGCGGGGCATGTCGGAGTCGAACCTACTTAAACCTCCTGTCGCTCAACAACCAGCATCCAAACCTCGCATGAGACAGAGCTCATGAAAAGGCAAAGGGGGGAAAGTGAAGCGTTTAGTGCGGAGCACATCTCTCCCATCACCCTCCCCCTCGGGACGCTGGACTGGCGGTCGTTGGCGCCACGACGACCAGCCCTCTCGGTCGACAGGCTGTCCGAAGCCCGCCTAGATGGCGCCGGTTAGTATGGTCTATCCTACGGAATACCCCGCTGGGTCAGAACCAGCGTGGGTTAAGGATAGCCGGCCTTCCATCACCCGGATGCTCATGCGTAAAACGTGTGCAGAGCAGCTTGCACGTCGTCTTCTTAGGCCCCCTTTGCCGGTCCCCAGGCCGACATGTGAGGGAGACCCGAAACACTTAGAGGGCCAGGGCTTGGGCGAGATCCGCCTCCCTGGATCCCGCTCGACGGCGGCGGGCCTGTGCATCTCTCACGCGTCCCGCCGCCTCCTTTTGCGAGATGGTGCACTCGCAGAAGTCGACCATCACCTTCCACGACTCGCCGTCACCAGCATCGATGCCAGAACACTCTGCAACGACAAGTCGTTTCCTATTTTTGCGACGAAGACACGCCGCCACCCCTCCCATGCGGGGCAGGCGACGAGCGTATGCTCTGCCGTGTCCAAGTCGCAACCACAATGGTGGCACTCTGCCGTCGGCTCGGTTCCGATCCGGTGCAGGAACTCACCGAAGCAACCATGCCCGGTGAGTACCTGCGTGAGCTGGAAAGTGAGGCATCCTCTGTCACGATTCACCCAATTCACAAGAACCGGGCGAATCGCCTCGACGGTCCTACGACCAGCCGAAGGATCGGCCAGCCGCCTGGGCCATGACTTCAGCACGGACCGCCGAGATTGGGCCCTCCGTGCTCTGACCACACTGGGGCTGGGACGTGCCACGCCCCGGGCACGAAGGTTAGCCCACCAGTGATAGTCAGCGGCGAGCGCCTCTGCCTCCAGGACCCAAGGCGGCTCCCAGCCAGTACACACGCCGCTTGGAAAGAGATGGTGCGATAACCACGGATGATCCTGACCGTGATGGTGCGTTGCGGCCGTTGCAGCAACTTCGTTACCCCCACGGCCAGTGACTGGCCCCACACGGGCGCCTCGTATAAGGCTATTGACCGCACCACCCCCGTATAGAGACGGCGCGTCACCTGGTCAGTCCCCCCGAAGTTGGGAAGAAGCCGGCTTAACGCGCCGGCCACCCCCAACAAACGAGGGACCACCTTCTGAAAGTCAATACGGAAGGTCCAACGACTGTCCAGAATGAGGCCGAGGTACTTCAACTGCACCCCGACCCGATACGGACGCCTCCAACCACGGTATGGGCATCGACAGGTGGCACTCTCCGGGGCCTGTGGAACCACATGGCCTCGGATTTATTGAGTGTCACGTCGAGGCCCAATCTCCTGATTTTGCCGACGACATGCGTCACCCCAGCGGTGGCAAGACGAGCAAACTCAGCAAAACTTACTTACATTATTGGAGTTTTAGTAAGGATACCAAATTTTTCGTAGTTTCCTTCCTTCTTGCGTCGATAATCCTCAGTGCTGAGGGTTGTGACCTCCTCTAATAACTTTCTCCTGCATCATCTTGCGCCATTCCTGCCTGTCCTCGGCTGTGTGGATAGCAACGTGGATTGAGGTATTGAGAGTGGAGTGTATTTGGTCCGACCAGCGCATTGGATTTCTGCCTCTGTGCCTTCTCCCGCATACCTTGCCTGCTACCAGC